CAGGTTCTCTATGCCTTGCTCCTCCTCTCTTTCTGGTATCCCTATGATACAGACATTATTACATTTCATGTTGTCCTGCATTTTCTTCTACTCTTCCTAATTCTCTTTGAGTCTCTTATTAATTTCTTGATCTTTTTGGGATCATTTTTCCACCTTTTCCTCCATCTCACTGATTCAATCCTCTGCTTCATGAAGCCTACTTTTGATGCCTTCTACTGTGTTCTCCAATTCAGAAATTGAATTCTTCCTTTCCTCTTCTTTTTTTGTTGTTGTTGTTTCTATGTCCTTTTTCATGCTGTTATAATTTCCTGTGATTTCCTCACAGAGTCCCTGTAGGTTTTTTTTTAATTTACTCTGAGCTTACTGAGCTAACTGAGCTTCCTTAGAACCATTATCTTGAACTCAATATCTGATAGCTTACTTGCCTCTGTTTAATTCATTTCTCTTTTGGGGGATTTCTCCTTTCCCTTTGATTGGGGAGTGTTTCTTTGCCTTCCCATTTTTTCAGAGACTCTTCTTTTTTTGCTTCTTAAATTGATCTGTCTTTTTTCCTGACTTTGTGGTGTTAACTTCTGTGATAGAAGACTGCTCTTTTTCATTTTCTTTTGAATCTGCCTCTGATGAAGTCACATGTTGTCCCTGTCTGACCTTAGGTAGTCTGTTAGAGACTTCCAGGAATCTACTGTCTGTGGCTATCTCTTTCAGTTGTTAATCTAGTCACTCTGCACTCAGCAATCAAGTTTAGGCACCTCAGGGCCAGGCTGAGTCCCTCCTGTCAACTGGGTTATTGGGTCCTCATGCTGTTGCTGCTCAGGGGAGTGGTCTGCCTGAGCAAGATGGCTGCTGCCATATGGGGGAGGATTCCGCACCGGGATCCTGCTGGCTACTCCCTCAGTTCTATCACCAAAGCCCAACTCTGCACACTCACCTCAAGTGTCTCTATACTACTCTGTGCTCCCTTTAGCCAGTGATCTACTATCTGTGACTGCTGCTCTGTACTTAGTAATTGGGCTTGTGCACCACTGGGCCAGGATACGGCCTCTTGGGGGCATAGTTATTATATCCTCTCACACTGCTGCCACTCAGGGTAGTGGTTTGCTTGAGCAAGATGGCTGCTGCCCTATGGCAGATGAATCATCACCGGGATCCTGCCAGCCATATCCTCGTGTCCCTCCCCAAACCTCCCTCCCCAGTCTCTCCTCAGGTGGCTCCAGCCCACTCTGCCCCCACCTTTGCTGGAGCCCAGGGTAAGTGGCTACCAATGCAAATGTATCTGTTGGCCCTTTCAATGGCTCTTTGCATCTCTAGCTACCCATCTCTGGCAGAGACCAACCCTGTCACTTTTCGCACCTGGTTGTTATCTGTGTACTTTTTGGGCCCTAGTGCTGTAGGCTGAGGATTCCCCACATATGGTTCAGAGCCCACTCTTCTCAGGAGGACCCCATTGGCTTTTTAAATATCCCTCTGATGCTGCTGCATGGGGTCACCCAGCTTGCCTTCTCAAGTCTCTACTGCACTCCTTACCAGTTAGTTTGTGCTGAAGCACATTCTTCCCAATATTTGATAAAGTTTGTCATTTTAATTTCTTCCTTCGTGGTGATTTCTCAGTGTGGTTTAATTTGTATTTCCCTGGTGATTAATAATGTTGAACATCTTTTTATGCACATGTAAGCAATCAATATATGATCTTTTGAAAATTATCTTTTAAATATTTTGCCTTTTTTCTTATCATTCAATTATAACACATTGTATATACATATATGAAAAATACATACATATATTTTATATATAATTATTTATTTTTAAGTAATATATACAATTTATAACAAAATATGTTATATGTCTATTTCTTTTTTATATTTTTATTTATTCACTTTTAGAGAGAAGGAAAGAGAGGGAGAAAGAGAATGAGAGAAACATCAATGCATGAGAGACACATCGATCAGTTGCCTCTCACATGCCACCATCTGGGGAACTTGGGCCACAACTCAGGCATGTGCCCTGACAGGGAATCGAACCAGCGACACTTCGGTTCACAGTCCAGCACTCAATCGACTGAGCCACAGCAGCCAAGTATGTATTTCTATATATATAACAGTTTATGAATATATATGTAACATAATATACATATATTCAGAGTTCAAGTCCTTTTTCTCATTGCAATTACTTTCGCACAGTTTTTGCCTCCCTTTCTTTAGAACTCCCTATTTTTTAGAAAAATCTTTTGATTTTATGACTTACAATTTTCAACTCATATCATGTTTTATACTTTGTACTTTTTGTCTTATGTCAGAAGAATGTTTGGTAATTTTTTGGCAATGTATATGCTTTATTTATTTATTGTTGTTAAATTAGAGCTGTCCCAGTTTTCCCCCCTTCACTCTCTCCCTCCCCTCCCACCCATCCCTCTCCCTCAGTCAATTCTTACACTGTTGTCCCTTTCTTGGGTCCCTTATACACGTTCCTTGACTATATCCTTCCCCTTATTTCTCCCATTATCCTTTTCTTCCCACCCTTTTGGTTACTGTAAGTTTGTTCTTTATTTTCATGTCTCTGGTTCTACTTTGCTCACTTGTTTGTTTTGTTGACTAGGTTCCACTTATAGGTGAGATCGTATGGTATTTGTCTTTCACTGGTTGGCTTACTTCACTTAGCATAATACTGTCCAGTTCCATCTATGCTGTCATGAAGGATAGGAATTCCTTCTTTCTTTCTGCTGCATAGTATTCCATTGTGTAACTGTTTCTTGATCCACTCATTTACTGATGGGCACTCAGGTTGTTTCCAGCACTTGGCTATTGTAAATGATGCTGCTATGAACATTGGGGTACATAGGTTCTTTTGAATTGGTGGTTCAGGATTATTAGGGTATAATCCCAGCAGTGGAATTGCTAGGTCAGAAAGCAGTTCCATCTTTAGTGTTTTGAGGAAATTCCTTACTGTTTTCCACAGTGGCTGCACCAGTCTGCATTCCCAACAACAGTGTGTACTAGGGTTTCCTTTTCTCCACAACCACACCAGCACTACTTGTTTGTTGATTTGTTAGTAATAGCCATTCTGACAGTTGTGAAGTGGTATCTCACTGTGGTTTTAATTTACATTTCTCTGATGGCTACTGATGTTAAGCATTCTTTCATATGTCTATGGGTCATCTGTATGTCCTCCTTGAAGAAGTGTCCATTCAGGTCCTTTACCCATTTTTTTTATTGGATTGCTCCTTTTCCTGATGTGGAGTCACATGAGTTCTTTATATATTTTGGAGATCATATCTTGTCTGAGGTATCATTGGCAAATATGTTTTCCCATTCATTTTGTTCCCTTTTTATTTTGCTGATGTTTTCTTTAGCTGTGCAGTAGCTTTTTAATTTAATATATTCCCATTTGTTTATTTTTCTTTTATATTCCTTGCCCCAGGAGATATATTGGTTAAGATATTGTTGCATGGATGTCCGCCATTTTACTGCCTATATTTCCTTCTAGGACTTTTATTGCACCCTGGCTTACATTTGAGTCTTTTCTCCATCTTGAGTTTATTCTGGTGGATAGTTTAAGTTGCTGGTCTGGTTTCTTTTTCTTTTCTTTTTTTTTTTTTTACATGTAACGCACCAGATCACCCAGAACCATTTATTGAAGAGGATGTTTTTACTTCATTTTATGCCTCTGTCCCTTTGTTGAATATTAATTCACCATAGAGATATGGATTTATTTCTGTGCTCTCTATTCTCATATTGATCCATGTGTCTTTTCTTATGCCATTTCCACCCTGTTTTGATTTCAGTGGCCTTATAATATAATTTGATATCAGGTATTTTGATCCCTCTTACTTTGTACTTATTTCTCAAAATTGCTGAGGCCATTTGTGGTGATTTATGGTTACATATAAGTTTTTGAAATATTTTTTCTGTATCTGTGGAATATATGTCACTGAAGGCATTTTTGTACACCAACAATAAAATATGAGAAAGAGGAAGTAGGAAAAATCCCATTTACCATAGCAACAAGAAATATAAAGGATCTAGGAATAAACCTAACCAAGGAGTCCAAAGACCTGTACTCAGAAAACCACACAATACTGTAGAAAGTAATTAAGGAATAGACAAATAAATGGAAGCATATACAGTTTTCATGGATTTAGAAGAATTAATATCATTAAAATGTTCATACTACCCAAAACAATCTATGGATTCAATGCAATCCCTATCAAAATAAGAATATTTGGCAATTTTTATAGATATTTTTATTGTCATGACTGGGAGGGGACTACTGGAATCTAGCAATTAAATATTAAGTTTAATTCTAAAAAATCTTGCAATGAATTTTATAGCCTGCCTGTGTAAATCACCTTGTGTCTGCCCATTAAAGAGGGAAGAGTGCCTATCTTAATGTCATAGAAGTGGATTAACATGTCATAACACACTGGACAGATGAGACTGATAGCAGTTTACTAGTCCTATATACTCATAGCCCAGGGAAGGAAAACACTGCATCTCATTCAAGGCTACATGGAGACTGTGTTCAGAAACAGAGTGTAAATCCGAGGGCTGTGGGAGGCAGGCTTTATACTACCAAGAGGATGCGGTGTCCCTTAGTTCCTGTGTGAGGACGTGATTCACTTGTTTAAATAATTCTGTGGTCAGTCAAGTCACTGAAACCTAGTGGTCTGGAATAAGCAGGAATTGTTTTTGGTTCCTTTGATAAAGAGGGTTGCTTGGCTATTGGACCTTATCTGCCAGAGAATAGCGGGAAGAAATATTTGTGTTTAGGTCATTTAAAGCCATCTTGACTTTACTAGATATAAAGAAATGGCATAATACTGTCCCTTGATTTCAGGCCTTCTACCATACACACTACAGAGAATTACCTTCTTCAAAATATAAATAGTGGAGCATGATAGCACAGTTAGTGGTGGCCCATTCAAATCTCCCCTCATCAGCAATAATTTGACAGCCCTCAATGGACAAAAGACACCTTATATAAAAAAGGCTTAAGACTTCTCCAAAATACTAACCATGCAGGGTAGATACCATGATCACAAAGCTGGTTTTCCCTGGTGAGGTTTTTACATTGAACTCCAGAAGTGCTGACCCCTGAGATTTCCCCAAATATGGGAAACTGGACTGCATGATTTGTGGTAATGGGGGATTGCCTTCACACTCTCCAGTGGCAGAAAACAAGACTCCACCAAAAAACTGGTAAAACTAATCAAATATTCAATAAAGTCACAGGATACAAAATCAATATATAAAATGTAGCTGTATTTCTATATCCTAACAACTTATCTGATAAAAACAAATCAAGAAAGGAACCTGTTAACAATACCATAAAAAAGTAAAATACTAAGGGGTAGGCAAAAGTAGGTTTAAGTTATAATACAAAGAAATAGTACAATAATCAATAAGTAATAATATAAGGATAAACTGTGTTTTGCATACTAACAACTGTAAACCTACTTTTGCCCACCCCTTTATATAAGAATAAACTGGACCAAAGAGGTAAAGGATTATACTTTTAAAACTATAAGATATAGATGAAAGAAAGTGGAAAAGATACAAATAAATGGAAAGGTACTCATAGGTCACAGATTAGAAGAATTGATATTGTTAAACTGTCCACATTACCAGAAATGATATTCAGGTTTGGTGAAATCCCTAACAAAATTCTAATGTTATTTTTAACAGAAATAGAAAAAAAAAGCAATATAAAATTTCATATGGAAACACAGAAGCATCTGAAAAGCCAAAGCTGTCTTGAGAAAAACCAACAAAGCTGGAGGCATCAACATACTGATTTCAAACTATATTACACAGCATTAAAAATAGGTGCATAGACCAATGAAACAGAATCAAGAGCCCAGAAAGAAAACCCACGCACATAAGGTAAACTAATCTTTGACAAGGCCACAATTGGTAAAAGATTGTCTTTTTAACAAATGATGTTGGAAAACATGCATATCTATATGTAAAAGAATAAAATTGAACTCTTATTTTTCACCATACACAAAAAATATCCTGAAATGGATTAAAAACTTGAATGTGGGACTTGAATCCATAAAACTCCTAGATGGAAACATAAAGAAAAAGCTCCTTGACATTAGTCTTGGCAATATTTTCTTGGATATGACACCTTTAGTATTGTTGTTAGGCAGCAGGCACAGGTACAAAAACAAAATTAAAGTAACACTACATAAAATTAAAATGCTACTAAACAGTCAATAAGAAATAGTAACCTATGAAATGGGAGAAACACTTGCAAAGCACATATCAAATAGGAGATTAACATCTTAAATATATAAAGGAGTCATACAGCTCTATAAAACACCACCACCAACAAGAAAAGCAAATATCCCATTTAAAAATGGGCACAGGACCTGAATAAACTTTTTTTTCCAAAACAGCATACAAAAATCCAAGAGGTCTATAAGAAGTGCTCGATTTCACTAATGATCAAGGAAATGCACCTCAAAAGCACAATGAGATATCATCTCACACCTATCAAAATGAGAATTATCTAAAACATTTGTTACCAAAAGATAACACATGATGGTGCAGGTGTGGAGAAAAAGGAATCCTTGTACACTGTTGATGGCAATGTAAACTGGTGCAGTCATTATGGAACACATTATGGAGTTTCCTCAAAAGATTAAAAGTACAACCGTTATATTGTTGGGAACTGTCCCATCTGGTTTCAGGGACTTTAGCCCTGCCAACAGGCATAAAAGCCCCAAGACTGGAGCTGAGCAAGGAGACCTTGGGAAAATAGGCCACTGAGGAGACAAAACCCGTCCCCCTGGCAGAGGCGCAGCTCCTGCCTCCCTCACATCACCTTGCTTGGCCCCAAAGGATGGCTATTTAGTCAATGATGGGTAAGACCCCTTGATGGCAGTAGCAACCTAAGATAAGCACAGTCACATGGGGGCCATCAAGGAAGGACTTGGGGGACATGGAGAAGGGGCAAAAACCCCTCACCCCTCAACTTTGTCATGGCCAGAGTCCTCATTCTATCTGGAAGAAGTCTCCTTATCTTTTGTCTGCTCTGCCTGCTGCCTGACAACAATAGTAAAGGCAAGTGTAGCCCTAAACTGGATTAGTTGGTTCCAGGGACAGTTAGACCTGGAAAAGGAATGCATTAAATCCTATGAAACTTACTTTGCTAAGAATGCCCTTGAGTTAATGAGTACTGATGTTTGGAATTGAGCATAGAATATGATCAGTTCCCAGGTTTCAAGGCCAAATGGGTACCGCCCTGTCTACCAGACCCTGACCTGAGGCAAATATTTGTGTTCCTTCAAACATAGCCTTTTGATATTGATTGATGAGCTTTGCATGCATGCTATATACCACTGCGCATATTGTTCTCAATAAAAGCCACTTCAAGAGAAGAGCTTGGGGCATTCTCCACTAGAAGGAATCACCACCCCCCTTTCCTGACAGACCGAGAGTGTATGGAATGACTTATTTTATTTTCACCATCCATGGCAACCTGGGGGGACTCTGCATGGAATGGGGTACCCCCATCATTCTATGACATAACAATCTCACTTCTGGGTATACAAGTATATCCAAAAAATGAAATTAATATCTCAAAAGTGATATGATTGTCCATGTTCATTGTTTAATTATATATAATAGCTAATGCATGGAAACGACCATGTTCATTGATGGATATATATATATATATATATATATATATATATATATATATATCCATCCCAGTATATATTATCCATTCATATATATATATATATATATATTCCAGCAGAAGTAATTCCTGCTTGAGTGTGGTTGGTAGGGTAATAATAAGGGTGTAATAATTTATACTTTTATTTTGAAAGTTCCCCCTAAAATGTCATATGGTATGCTTGAGAATATTATTATGCTACAGAATTATGTGCTCATGATTTTGTGATAAATTATTTTGTAATAAAATAGGTGTTATTTGTGCCAGACCCTGTATATAAAGTCTGTCTGGAAAAAGTCCAACCACTATTCATTTAATGAGAATGGTTTTTGTGATGTCGATGTAACCTGGCAGGAAAGGAGAGTGGACTGGAATGCACGTGTGTGAACAATGATGACTTCACTGTACTAGTCAGTGGGGGTGTTAGCACCATTGAGTGAGCATGTGTACTGTGTGGCCATCCCATTCAAAATGACTGAGTCAGTAGAGCAATGAATCTGCATCAAATTTTGTGTTAAACTTGAACACTCCTCCAGGGAAACTATTCAGATGGTTCAGAAGGCCACAAATATGGGCAACTGATGATTGACAACTTCATAACAACAATGTGCCAGTTCATGCATCACATCTCGTGCAGAATTTTTTGGTGAAATATCAAATCACCCAGGGGAATCAGCTCTGCTACAGCCCATATTTGGTGCCCTGTGACTTCTGATTTTTCCCAAAAGTAAAATCACCTTTGAAAGGGAAGAAATTTCAGACCATCAATGAAATTCAGGAAAACACTATGGGGCAGCTGATGGCAACTGGAAGAACTATGTGAGGTCCCAAGGTGACTAATTTGAAGGGAATTGAGGCATCACTGTCCTATATACAATGTTTCTTGTGTCTTGTATCTTCTTCAATAAATGTCTCTATTTTTCATAGTATATGCCTGGATATTTTCTGGACATACTATATATATAACCACATATAATATTCTACAAGTGTCAATTAAGTAATGGTTATTGATAGTGCTATTTTGACTTTCTGGTTTGGTGGAGATGTATTCTTTTAGCCTTCTTTTGTCTGGGAAACCCCTTATTTAGCCTTCCATTTTCATTGAGAGCCTTGTTGGGTAGAGCAGTCTTGATTGCAGGCCTTTGCTTTTCATTACTTGGAATATTTCTTGCCATTCCTTCTGACTTGTACTGTTTCTGTTGAGAAGTCAGATGCTAGCTGTTTCGGGGTTCCCTTATATGTTATTACCTTTCTCCCTTGCTTCCTTTAGGATTCTCTGTTTGTCTTTGATATTTGCCATTTCAATGATGATGTGTCTTGGAGTGAGCCTCATTGGTTTCCTCTTGAATGGGACCCTCTGTGCTTCCTGGACTTATGTGACTTTTTCTCTCCTCCAATTAAGGAAGTTTTCCATCATTACTTTTTCAAACAGGTTCTCTATCCCTTGCTTCTCTTCTTCTTTTGGTATCCTTATTATACGGATATTATTATGTTTCAGGTTGTCCTGAATTTTCCTGAATGTCTCTTTATTTTTTTTTTAGCCTTTTTTTCATTTTCTTGCTCTTTCTGGGAGTTTTTTATACCTTACCCTCCAGCTCCCTGATTAGATCCTCTGCTTCATCTAGCCTGCTTTGGAATCCTTCTACTGTGTTCTTCTATTCAGAAATTGTATTCTTCATTTCCTCTTGTGTCTTATTGATAGTTTCTATGTCCTTTTTCATGCTGATATAGTTTGCAGTAAGTTCCTCATAGTTTCCTTGTAGCTTTTTGTAATTCTCTCTGAGCTCACTGAGCCCATTGATTGTCCTTAGAAACGTTGTTTGGGATTCAGTATCTGATAGTTTACTTGGTTCTATTTCATTTAGTTCTCTTTCTGGGGATTCCTCCTTTCCCTTCAAGTGGTGGATTTTTTTTTTTTTTTTGTCTTCCCATTATTTGTGAGGCTCTTCTCTTTTGCTTTTGCTTCTTAAATTGACCTGTCTTGATTTCCTGACTTTGTGGTGTGAACTTCTATGGTAGGAGACTACTGTCTTTTTTCTTTCTATATTTGCCTCTGATGATGTCAGATGTTGACCCTGTCTGACCTTAGGCAGTCTATTCAAGACTTTCAGGAATCTATATGTCTATGACTGTCTCCTTCAGCTGTTAATCTAGTCACCCTGCATTCAGCAAGCCAGATTAGACACCACAGCGCAGGGCAGAGTCCCTCCTGAGGGTGGGGCTATTGTGTCTCCTCATGCTGCTGCCACTCAGGGGAGTGGTCTGTCTGAGCAAGATGGCTGCTGCTATATGGAGGATGAGTCATCACTGGGATCCCCACAGCTACTCTCTCTGTTCTCTCCCTAAAGCCTCCCTCCTCAGTCTCTCCTCAGGTGTCTCCAGTCCACTCTTCTCCCTCCTTTGCCGAAGCTCAGGGTAAGTGTCTGGAAACAAAAATTTTTGTGTTTGCCCTTTAAATACTTCTTTGCATCTCCAGCTGCTTATGTCTGGCAGAGAGCAACCCTGCTGCTTTTCTCAGCTGGCTGTTATCTATGTGCTTCTTGGTCTCTGGTGCTATAGGCTGGAGATCCCCACTTATGCTTTAGACCCCATACTTCTCCGGTGGATCCAACTGGCCGTTTCAGTATCCATCTGGTGCTGTTGCTCATCTGTGCCCTGCCTGCCTTCTTGAGTCTCTACCGCACTCCTTACCAGTTAGATTGCACTAAACCTGATTCTTCTGTCTGTCCAAGATTTTAAGGCTCCTCTATTGCTATTGTTCAGTTGTTTGTTCCAGGTGATTTTTCCACAATTTAGTTGTAATTCCAGGTTGGTCCTGGGAGAAAGTCAGTGTGACTTCCACTCATTCCTCAACCATCTTGATTCTCTTGATTCACTTTTTATATTGACAGATTATGTATTTTAGCAATATTTCTCCTGGGGAAAATGGGAGGAAATAACAAGATATATATTTGAAAGTTTGTAAGTGTTAACACACATTGAAATATTATGGAATCAACACCTGGTTAAAGATTGAAATTCATAGATGTTATCCAAAAATATGGAACTTCTTTTACCCTTATGAACATTTGTTGTTTCCTAGAGATGCTTCAGATAGGCTTAGAGGACAACAGAGTTATTGATAACTTAATCTGATTAAAACATCAAAAATTGGAGTCACCTGTCAGGCAAGAATTGCCCAGGTAAACCAACCATACCATTTCAAATCAGTAAAAGAGCCCAGTTTCAACTGTTCATGTTTATCACTGAATTAAGAAAATTTTGAGTGCTACCAGCCCCTTGCCAGAATTAAATGTTAATCATCTTTTGAGGAAAATAATATCATCTGAGGCTTTAAAAGTATTTCTACATTTTCTTCATATAAAATGAATTAATTGTATCAAAATAACTGGGCACATAGGAGGTAAAAAAAGCATGAACAACAAGAAAAACAATGTTAAAATCAGGCAAGAAAAGCAGACACAATGGAGCTCCAGATAATGCAAATATCAGATAAATTTTTAAATACCCTAATTTGGTTAGAGACAGTGCATTTTTTTTTTTTTTGCCAAGAATTGAAAGCTGAAAAAATAGTGCATTAGCACTGATGTTTTTGTTAATTTATCTCATCATCCCTTGTCACATTAAAAAAATCATTAATCAAAATTTTCTTAGGATTGTAAAAGCAGCTTTTGGCCTAGAATTTAAGGTAGAGGTGAGCTGACTCTTGTCCATGAGCCAAATCTGGCTTACTCCCAGTTTTTGTAGGGGCCACAAGATAGAAGTGTTTTTACATTTTTAAAAATAGTTGAAAAAAATAAAAATAAAATGTTTTCATGCATGACAAGTTAGCATTATTTACAAATCAAATCTCAGTGATCACAAATAATGTTATACTGGAACACAAAAAATAATGAAAGGTTGAGAACTGAGAAGTATAACCATTGATATTAAGAAACTAATGTGTGAATTTGCAAGAATACTAAAGGTAGCTAAAGGTATAATCAGAAACTGGAAAATGTGTATCAAAAGAAAATATACATATAAAGTCAGAGAGAAAAAAGCATGGATTAAAAATACATAAGATGGTAAGAGGAATAAAAGAGAGATTGAAAAGCTTGTACATATAAGTATAGTCTAAGTAGGGAAAAGAGGATAATAGAATCAAATATATATTTGAAAATGTAATAGATGAAAATTCTTAAAAATTTATGGGCAGCATTAAGTTATAGGTGTAATAATCCACATGAACCTTAACAAGAATAAATACAAGGTAAAGAATATCTGGGAACATGAACATAAAACTCTTAATTTTTTAAAGATTTTATTTATTTATTTTTAGAGAGAGGAGAAGGGAGGGAGAAAAAGAGGGAGAGAAGCATCAATGTGTGGTTGCTTCTCATGTGCCCTCTACTGGAGACCTGGTCTGCAACCCAGGCATGTACCCTACATTGGGAACTGAACCAGTGACCTTTCAGTTCACAGGATGGTGCTCAATACACTGAGCCACACCAGCCAGGGTAAAACTCTTATATACCAATGACAAAAAATATCTTAAAAGCTTTAGGACAGAAAACATAATTCAAAAGGAGTAATAGCAATGCACATATTATAGAATATATTAAAACAATATTGTCAAAGTGCTTAAAAACTTAATTGCATGCATAGAAATCTACATCAAGCAAAGATAGCTTTTAAGAATAAATTTGAAATAAAGACTTTTTTAAAAAAGCAAATATTGTTAATTTAGTCACCAGTAGACTCACATTAAGGAAATATAAAAGGTCCTCTAGGCAGAAGGGAAAAGTTAGCAGATGGCAGCCTGTCAATTAGGAAAGCAATGAAACGCAATGAAAGGATACATATGTAAGGAAATAAAAATGAGTATTGACTCTGTATATCAATAATTATAATTTATAGCTGAATGAATAATTCCAAAATGCTTAAGGGAGAAAAGGGAATATCAAATATGAAGAAAATAGAAGGCCAAAGTGAGATGGTATATTTAAGCCCAAATATATCAGTAATTATATTAAATTTAAATAGACTACATTCTCCAATTAAAAGACAAAATAATTGTGAGTTACATAATATTTAAATATGATTATATACTATTTAAAACATGTCCAAATCATTAAAAAAAAACAAAATTTTAAGGTAAAGTTAAGGATAAAATATATCATGGAATTAGTAGCCAAAACAAAATAAAATAGTTACACTAGCCCTGGCTGGTGTGGCTCAGTGGATTGAGCACCAGCCTGTGAACCAAAAGGTCGCTGGTTCGTTTCCCGGTCAGGGCACATGTCTGGGTTGCAGGCCAGGTCCCCAGCCAGGGGCAACTGAGAAGCAACCACACATTGATGTTTATCTCCCTCTCTTTCTCCCTCCAATCCCCTCTCTCTAAAAAGAAATAAAATCTTTGAAAAAAATAAAATAGTTATGTTAATATCAGGGAAAGTGTATTTTACAGATAGGGATAAATGTTTTCCAGGGAGAAATAGGAATAGCCAACAATAATTTAAGTTCCAGTACACTATAAATATATAAAAATTCTAAAATTGTATGTCCTTAACAACATACCTTTATATTAAAAAATAATAACATTGTATGATCAGCTCAAACAAATGAAATAAAAACATTGATAAAACTTACTATCTAATGATAAAATAACTTTTTAGGATATTGTTAATAAAAGGAACTTCCTTAATTTTTATAAACTATGAGCAAAAATATTGCAAACTTTGTCTTTAAGATATAGAAAGAAACAAAGTTGTCTATCGCCATCACTTCTATATTCTACATAATTTTGTAGTGGGATACAAAGCCAGTGCCAAAATCAATAAAAAGGAATAAAATATGTAAGTATTATAATGAAAGAAACGAAGCTCTCATTATCCACAGACAATATAATTTGAATAAATTATTAAAATTAATCAGTGAATTTCATGTGGTAGCAGAATATGAAAGCAATATCAAAACCAGCTGCATATATACATCCTGACTTCAAAAAATTAGAACATGAAAGTTTAAGCTTTGCCAGTTATAATAGACATTTCTTCAAGTATACGTAAAGAAAACTTACAATAACATAAAAATGTTTAAAAATATACCCAGGAATAAAGTTAATGGAAGATATGGGAAAACTCAACACAGAAAGTTGTTCAATATTCATGAGAAAAATTTATGTAGATATAAATAAATGGAGCATACAGCATGTTCACTGATTTAAAAAGCTCATTTTTTCAAAAGATATTCTTCCCAAATTTGTCTGCACATTCATTACTCCCACAGCAAAATTCCACTATGTATTTTGTAAAAACTGACATATTTTAAAAAAAAAAACTTAATAGTTATATAATGGATGAAAATTAACCAAGTCACTCTTAAAAAAGAACAAGGTAGGAGGGTGTAATTTGCTAGATGACTGGTAAAAAAAAAGCAAATATATTACTATGATTCAACAGTAATTAAGATAACATTTTACTGATTCAAAGATAAACAAATATAACTATGTAACATAATTGAGAGTCCAGGAACAAACCTACACATACATAGAGCATTAGCTTATTTCAAAGTTGGCATGGAAGACAACAGGGAAAACAAAATACATTATGTTAAGTGGGCTGATTCAACCGGATATTAATGTGAAACAAAATGAAACTGACACTAATGTTTACAGCAACACAATTGACAATAGCCAAGTGCTGGAAACAACATAATTACCCCGTCAGTAAATGAGTGGATCAAAAAACTCTGGTACATTTACACAATGGAATACTACGCAGCAGAAAGAAAGAGCGAGCTACTACCCTTCAGGACATCATGGATGGAACTGGAGAGCATTATGCTAAGCGAAATAAGCCAGACAGTGAGAGACATGTATCATATGATCTGTAAGTGGAATCTAATGAACAAAACAAAGGAGCAAAATAAAACAAGAGACATGGAAATAAAGAATAAACTGTAACCAGAAGGGAGGGGTGAGGAGGATAATGGGGGAAAGAGGGGAAGTGTCAAGTCAAGGAACATCTATAAAGGACCCATACACAAAGGCAACCAGGGACAGGGATTGATTTTGTGAGGTGGGGGTGGGTAGGACAGGGGTAGCATATTGAGGGAAAATGAGGACAACTATAATTGAACAACAATTAAAAAAAAAAGAAAACACTACATATAAATATGTAATGTTGCATTTATAAATAAAATTTTAAAATAAAAAAAGACCAAAAAAAAGAACAAAATGAAACTAAACTCTTAACTCATACCATGTACAGACAATTTAAGTGGATTGTACATTTGGTGTACAGATAAATTAATAAATCTCATAATATTAATATAGGATAATCATAAACTTATTAAACTTTATTCTTGGAAGAGAAGATGCTCAATTTCTTCCTCTCAGGGCCAAGACAGCAGTTTTGCCTTCACCTCTCTCATCCCAGCTACTTTCCTTCCACTGTCCCTTCATCTACTTTCAGTTACCATTCCTCCTTTGAAGCTCACACTATTGTCAAAGTACACCTCCAATTTCTCATTTTCTGTATTGCAATCAACTGCTCCAGGTTCCTCTCCCACAGTGTGTTTTTGACATTTTCTTCTATACAGCCTCTTTTCTGAGGTGACACACTTATCTCCATGTATTTCTTTTTCTTCCATCCACTCTTCTTCGAAAGAAATGTCTCTTCTGTTGATCCATATCCCCTCATATCTCATCTGGTTGAATCTCTGTACATGTATATATGTGCCTGTCTCTGTATCTCATTGTCTTTTTCTACCTTTAGGCTTTACTAGATCATTTTATTTAGCCCAATAATTTTCAAATCTCTTCACTGTAAAAAAAAGGATAAAATTTTTTGGGACACCACTGTTCTCAAGCTATCTTTTTCTGTCTCCTTTTACTCACCCCAAAAATGATGATTATATTTCATTTATTTGTATATCAATTTACTACACACTCTCTTATTAATTTCTTGTAATATAACAACCAGCTAATTACAAAATCCATCAACCAACTTTGTTTACTGCACTGTGAATATCTCTCAGTAGAATTTGGTTACTGCATACTTTTTAAAATACTCTCCTCTCCCCTCACCTTCCTTCATAAAATACATTTCTCTCCTAGCTGCATTCTATTTGACCCTATCTTCTCTTTCTTCTTTTCTAAGTCTTCTGCCTTTATTCACTATTTAATTATAGATATTCTCCAATGTTTTGAAATTTTCTCCCTTCTCTTTCCATGCTTCATTTTATTATTCACACCTCTGGCTTCATTTTCTTATACTTTTATTCATTGCAAATTCATATTTTAATACACATCTCAAAATTACTTCAGTACTGTCTCTTCAGTGAGGCCATTATTGATGGTCAATGAAATTAATAACTTCTTTATCTTTACACACACAACACTTTACATGCTACATTTTGAACCTAGTAATATTTCCTTGTATTCAGAATTGCTATTTGCATGTCTATATTTTTCACTTTCTCCAAAACGTAAGTACTTTGGAAATATGAATTTGCCATCTCTATATAGTGATTTTGTGTATTGTGATTTTTTTCTTTTTCAAGAAAAAAAATGTAATTCTGTGACAAGTTTCCTATCGGTGTGCTCAGTTGTAACCCTATGCTATCACTCTGTAGACAGAGAGCACAGAAGTGGAAGCCAATTTTTGCTCTGCTTCATGGATATTCATCCCTATTTTAATTTCTGTGCATAATTACAGATTTGCTCTTTGCATTGTAGTACATTAATTCTAAGCATTACAGTGTTTTCATGCCTTACTTCTCTATAGGATGTGTCTGTGTCAATCAAGTCTCAAATGTCCTCCCAAATAGATAGCTGACAGAATTCTTGACAGCACTTCCTGTAAGTAGTAACAGAATAAAAGTCATAGTTTAGGGAATCACTACTTCATTTGTTGTCATTTTGCCCAGGAGCTCAAGCAGTTATTTCATATCTTTGTGTTTATATATTTTATGTTTTTTATTTATTTGAAAATCAAATACATGTATTATAGTAATCTGCAATAACATAAAGATTGCAATTTTAGTTGATATTTTCTCAACAAGTCCATTGAGAGAAATGAAGTATTCTTTCTCCCTTTTTCTTTTTTGTTATACCGTTTTTCTTTTCTACTTAAAGAATGCTTAAGCGGAATTAGAGAAGCATATCTGAGCTATTTTTTTTTCAGTTATATGACTTCAATGGCCTTTCCTTTATCTCATTTTATCTTCATGTGATGGCCAGAATAGCATGCACAAGTTTGTTGGGCCTTATCAAAGAATAAGGGAAACTAACTAACCTTCCTCTAAGTTAATAGGTAACTCTTCTTGATATTTTCTTTTGTATCCTTTGCTCTTTATAAAATAATGACCTCAATACTAGTATAAAAAACACAGTTAAAATTAGTAATTTGTAATCACCCTTCCCTCCATATCCTTCTCAGCCCACACTGTGCTCATACCAACAATGTAGTAAAAAATGGAAAACTGCCCTTGCTCTAAGGTTATTACTGAGTATTCCTTCCCTCATATTCTTAAATGGTTAGTAAGTTTTCTTGATTTTTATATGGCCTTGATTTATATATAAAAGACCATGAATTGAATCTTTTAAAAATATTAAAGTGTTACCAAATTTTTAGTCAGTTCTGTTTTGAGTAAAAAAGAAGTGCAAAATGTAAAGTTGATTTACATTTTAAAATTTAGTATTAGAATTATCCCATGATTTTGTCATATTTGCTGGCCCACAAAATGTGGGTCAGAGCTTTCCATATGATGTTCAAAAGGACATAAATTTAGTAGTTATTGTCACCCACCCACCATTACTAATTGTGCCTGTAACTGGAAAATAATAAACAGACAATTTGCAAGATACATGGTGTTGATTAGATGAAAATTATACATAGTTCAGAGATTATCACATGCTCCTTACCCAGGTTGCGTTAAGATGACTAAGAACTAAAACAAAAACACACATTAAAACCCATCTTGGGTGAAATGGGCTTTTAGGAACCAAATAACTTTATCATTAATGTTGTCACCTACACATTATGTGTTAGTATCATATTCTGCATTAAGGTTTTCTACCCCTTTAAGTTTTCATGCTAAAACAAATTTCACTGATTTGGGGGAGTTCAATGAAAGTGCTAAAACGAACAAACAAAAACCTACAGTACAAGGGAACCACAAAAAGAGGAAGATGAATTATGAAGAATATTTGAATTAAACAAATTTAAACTGAATAAACATACATAAATCTAAAAGTCTCTCTATCCACAGGCATAACTCTGATTTTTACCCTCTAAACATGTTTAACATCCTTGCCTATAACAGAAATGTGATACAGAAGTTAAGAGGTTGGGTGATGAAACAGATCATCAGCTGTCAGGGAAAATGGAGCATCTTTGCCTCTGCATAGTCACTGACCAAGTGATTTATTCAAATCAGTTAAGTATGCTATATGGAAAATCATTTTATACAAATGAAATGAATATTCAATATCTAGTGCCCAAGATATAAACTTCATAAATAACATCTGTTTAAAATGAACAATAGTTTTTACTATGTGGTTGTTTTTCTGAAACATCTGTAATCCAGTAAGTTAGGTATAAAGTTAAACAATCATGACGGAATGTACCAAACACAGTTTTGAATCATTTATAATTTCCGTTAGTGCCATCTTGGGAAGATTTACACATTCATTATATAATTTTTGCTTGCTGTTTAAACAGATAGTCCCCATGCTTTTAAGATACTTCTTTCAAAAGTCAAGAAATTATATGGTCCTATTTCAAGGCCCTAAACACTTTTGCCACACACTTCTTGGTTTTATTAAATTTTACCATATCTCCCACAGCTTTCATCTTCTTAGACACATAAGACCTGATATTGTTGCCTGAGCATGTGGGAGTGCCTCACCTCTCTTTCCATCATTTTAGTTTCTCTTTGCCAAACCTTTTCTAGCTGAGTTTCTCTGAACCATGCTCTTAAACTCCATAATGAAATGCCTGTCAAAGCAAGATAATTTTCCAACTAGGCACTACAAAATACTCTATCAGGAAGCAATTATTTCTTTTAAAAATATATTTTATTGATTATGATATTAAAGTTGCTCCATTTTTCTCCCTTTGCCCCTCTCCACCAAGTACCCCCATTCCTTATAGCAATTCCCTCCCTTAGTTCATGTCCATGGATCATGCATATAACTTCTTTGGCTTCTCCATTTCCTATACTGTTTTTAACATCCTTTTTTTCTATCAGGAAGCAATTATTTATTTATTAACTCTTTATTTTAGTGCCTCTCAGGGTATGGCATTGATCAGTTATTCACTATGTATAATTTTGAGTTCTGACTTGGCTTCTATAGGAAGTATAATGAGTAATTCAACCCATAAATAAGTATAATTTTACTTAGGAGATTTATGGGGAAATTATGCATAAAGATAAATACCAGCATTAATATTTAAAATCCATGTGGCTTGGACTAATAATTTGTCATGAGCAGGAAGTTCACCCAAGCGATGTTTAAAAATTGTAACATAAATTGATCAATCTTGTGTAGATCTGAATTGGTTAAGCTACCTACAGTTATGTGTTTTAAGTTCACAGTATTTGAAGTATTGAATTTCTACTTCATTTATAATTAAAGTAAATAAAATGCAGAAAGCATTAGGAAACCAAATATAATATTAAGAGAGAAAATAAGAGTTTAGTTTGAACTGTAGTCTTCTACTACTTACTTGGTTGTTAATTTGCTCCATGACCTTCAATCAGTAACCTCATTGTGTCTCAGAGGATATAATAATCCTGACCTGCTTCACAGGGGCGTGCTGTACCTTAATTGATGTGTGTTAAATGCCTGGAGGTACTTTAATGAAAGCCATTATTGAAATGCAATTATTAACATTTAGGGTAATGAAGTTAGCTTAGATGGTATAGCCAAGCCTGGTAGGAAGATGGTTTCTAAGTTCAAGAACACAAAAATTCTCTGATACAATTTGTGTTTTTTTTGAAGGTCTAAAAATGCAAAAATAAAAAAAAAAGTGAAACCATAACTGGCTTATTTGCTGACTTTAGCAGCATTAGGGCCTGCAGTTTATTGCTTTGTCTCTGATCAAGTGCATTGCAATCAATGCAAATTACTACAGTGATGCTAGGAGATAATTTTGTAAAAATGTCAAAAATGCAAAATTTGGGAGAGCTGGATAGGCTAGAAATGACTGTATTGATTTTGTAAAGGTTGGTAAATTACTACAATACCTCCTTACTTCAAGGTAGATTGCAACTCTTGCATTTTAAACAAGATCAACTCTAATTTTAAACTTCGGGAAAGATTTAGTGTATTTACATGCATTACTTTTATCTCTGAGAAAGTTAGATCATGTGCTTACCTAGTAGAAATGAGTTGGAAAATTCCCAGTAGGACTCATCCTTCTGCTCAACAATTCCTACCTGTCTATACATTTCATCAGGCTTGTCTTTTCACTCAGAGAGTCCCAAGACAAGAATGAAAATAAGTTTAAAAAAAGAGGAAAAATACCCTCTGTATTCTCAAGAAATTACAGAAACAAACAAAAAAAAGCATTTTCAGAAAATGGTCTGAAAAATGATCATTCCATCTTCAGTAATGTCACACTTACATTTATAATTTTTTATTAATGCTATTCTTTAATATCAATTGCATTTAATAGTACAACAATGTCTCCAACATAAGG